ATATATTATATTTATGATTATTAAATTACAAACAAGATCGCGATATAAATGATATTTTTTTTAGGGAGTGCGAGCATCGACATTTAATGAAAGGGTTAGGAGAAGGGAGGGCGTGAACTGATTTTAAAATCAGGTACAGTCATATATAAAGTGTATGCGCTTCACTGGACGAGTTCGATAAGCTGCTTCAAATTCGAGCAAAACCATATATAACATTTCCTTTTGAATCAGTAATTTTGATAAAATAGGTTAGAATTGATCGGCCCCAGGTGAGAGAATATAGTGTATACTTTCAAAAGTATATTCTTAATCGACCGTAAATAATTGCGTTTATCACACCTATTATTGTTATTGTGTGAGCGCGAACCGCCGAACATTATAATCTCCAATCGCAAAAATCTTATATACTCTGCTTTCACTTCTTGGAGAAAATTGCCTTTTGTATATCAATCACAAGACATGATTCTCTTTTATACCGTTATATATAAATGTGTACATCAAATATTGCACTCGTAAATTATATTATTTATCTTCGATTTATTTAGAGAGAAAAAAAAGAAAATGAAGAACATTCAGAACATAAAGAAACTGAAGAAAATAAAGAAATTAAAGAATATAAAGAATACAAAGAAAATAAATAATAAATAGAAAGTACTATTTAGTTCGTTTGGAATTACATAATGGTGATGAATCATTGGAGTAACGATTTCATAATTTACATCTGCAGCGAAGTTTCGAATTATTTCGACTAATTTACAACGACTTTAATTATTCCAATTGGGTACGTTGATAATATTCCATATGTGCTCGCGTACATACAACGAGAGAAATTATGCAAACGAATATTTTGTCCCCTGGTCTATGTACAACAGAAAATTTATAACAAAATGTACAACAAAATGTGTAACGTAACAATTCGAAAACAATTCAATTTTTATTAAACATGGAAGAAATTGAATTTTTGAGATGTTACAAATGATTGCAGAAATTCAATTATTATCAAAAGTGATAAAATAGTTCTTCGCAGAAATTCAATTATGTTGAAAAATTTTTTAAAATTCTCACAAAAATTTCAATTATCTTTAAAAATATTGAAAAATTTTCTCCAAAATTAAATTATTCTCAAAAATTTTAAAAAAATTCTTGACAAAATTTCAATTATTTTCAAAAATTTTCCTCAATTCAATAATTTTTAATAACTACTATTGCAGAAAATGTTTCCGAAAGAATTCAATTATTTAAAGAAAAGTGTTGATAAAATACTAAGTAAACATTAAATTATTTTCATAAAAATAATAAAAATTTTACAGGAATTTCACTATTTACAAAATTTTTTTATTTTCCTTGCAATAATTCAATTATTTTCATAAATAATAAAATTTTTTATAGAGATTCAATTATTTTCATAAACTATAAAAATTTCAAACTTGTTCAATTATTTAAAATAGAATTTGCATAAATTTTTCCAAAAAGAAATCAATTATTTACAAATGCTTTATAAAATTCTTCTTAATAATTCAATTATTTTCATAAAATATATAAAATTCTTTTTAGGAATACAATTATTTTCATAAATAATTAAACTCATCGGAGAATTTCAATTGTTTTTAATACAATTTTAATAGAATTTCTCGAAAAATATAATTTATTTGAAAATTTTATTAAAATTCGTCGAAAAAATGCAATTATGTTTATAAAATTCTTTGTGAGAATTCAATGTTGAGAAACATTCATTTATTCAGTAAATTATATATTTTTGTATTTAAATAATTCAATTTTAGTAGCATTTACTAATAAAAATTGATTTAAAAATAAATTTTAGTTCAAATTTTAGATAATATTTGAATATTAAAAGCAAGGATTTTTGAAAATAATTGATAATTGAATTCTTTCGAAAAATTTTAATAAAATTTTAAAAAATAATTATATGTTTTTCAAAGAATTTACATAAATTTGTATTAATAATAATTGAAATCCCGTGAAGAATTTTATTATTTATGAAAATAATTGAATTCTTACAACGAATTTTATTAAATTTCTTTAAATTATTGAAATCCAGTATAGAATTTTATTATTTTTTTAAAAATTGAATTTCTGCAACGAATTTTCTTATATTTTTTTTTAATAATTGAATTCACGTGAAAATTTTTATTACTTGTGAAAATAATTACATTTTATTACATTTTTTTCAAAATAATTTAATTTTCTTGAGAACTTTTATTAAAATAGTAGATTCGGAAAATATTTGGATTTCAGCGAAGAATTCCATTATTTGTGAAATGTAATTGAATTCTTGCAAAAAATTTTTGAAAAAAATTACATTTTCCAAAGAATTTATTTAAAATTGTATTAAAAATAATTCAAGTCCTGTGAAGAATTTTATTATTTATGAAAATAATAGAACTCTTGCAACGAATTTTTATTACATTTTTTTTTAAAATAAATGAAACCCCATGAAGAATATTATAAATTTATAAAAAGAATTGAATTCTTGCAACGAATTTCATTACATTTCTTTTGAATAATTGAAATCCTGTAAAGAATTTAATTTTTTTTGTGAAAATTATTAAAACTTCTGCAACGAATTTTATTACATTTTTTAAAAATAATTGAATTTTTTTGAGAAATTCTATTAAAACAGTAGATTTTGAAATGTGAAATGTAATTGAATTTTTGTAAAAAATGTTTGAAAATAATGATATTTTTCAAGGAATTCATTAATAAAATTTTGTAATAAAAATAATTGAAATTCTATGAAAAATTGTATTATGTATGATAATAATTGAATTCTTACTACGAATTTTATTACATTTTTTTTAATAATCGAATTGATGTGAAAAAAATTATTACTTGTAAAAATAATTGAATTCTTGAGAAGGATTTTATTAAAACTTTTTGTAAATAAATAAATTTGTTTTCAATTTGTAATGTTATTTAAATTATTATGAAACAGGAAGTTGAAAAGTTAACAGTTGTTAACAGTTGTTCTTCTAAGTTGTTGAATTTCATAAAGGTTTGAATTTGAAATTTTTTGAAAATCTGAATTCCTATGGAATAATAATAATTATGAAATATTTATGCAAACAAAAAATTTATTCATGTTTTCGAATAATTTTACAATTAAAGAAATTCGTTTATAAATGTACTAGAACTTTTTTTTTGAGTATTTCTATTTAATGATTTTTTGAGTATCTCTATTTAATGATTTTTAAACCATTTTTTTGAGTATCTCTATTTATTGATTTCTAGAGTAAAGCAGAATATTTTTTAAGCTTATGGAAAAAGTCAAAATTTTGTTTTAAATCAGGCAAAAGTCAGGGAAAAACAAAATTAAATTTTTTTTGGCAACTCTGAATTCCTTATTTTTTTTGTTACTCTTTTTTTTCTGCTGAATTTCCTATTCAACGTTTGGACTGCCCTTAAATCTCGATACCTCTTTTGGAAACCAGGGGGAGGGTGGGAGGGGAAGAATTGGAGAATGTGCGCGATGTTATATGGTTCGGCGCCGTCTCGTCGTAAACAACGAGAGAAGAACGTAGAAATAAGAACCCGAATCGTTCCGTGGCTGGTGATTGTCTGGCGGTTCGCATAAAGTATAAACCACCCACGACATAAAACCGTAGGAGTTATTGTAGTGCGTCACCTCGGCACCTGGAGTCAACCCCACACCCTTTTTTCTCCCCCCCCCCACCACCCTCCCTCTTAAGACGATCCGAGAATTTGCCAGCACCATATACACAACCGAACCCCCGTATATACGTAGATTATGGGAAACACCATGAACCGGACATTTATGACCGTGAAACGCGCGACGCACGAGAGAAGGCACTCCATCGCGGATTTTGATACAACTTAATCGCCGGAAGACACTCCAAGCACAATCCTTTTATATGAACACACATATATATATATATGCAGACACCATCAGAAGTGAGCTTTCAGAATTCACCGCGATACCTATCCAATAAACAGTGTGAAGCACGGCCCCCGCAGTTTTTTCAGATTCTTTTCTTTTAATGTCGCGAAAGAAATTTTTTTTTCACTCTGCTTTTATTTTTATTTTTGATGTTATATTTATAAAGCTTCGTTTTGTATTTGTAGTAGAGGCTTGTTTGGTAAATTCGAGAGAAAATAAATACTTCCTGTGTATATATGAGGTAGCAATAAATAAAATACGTTTAAACGGTCTGTTAATGGTATTCTTTTTCTTCTGCAAAACATCACATTTGCTATCTTGATGGTGGGAACACCTACTGATTGTTGTTTTACATTCAATTGAATGAGGAATAATTTTCTTTCTGACTTAGGGATATTGACTTTCCTATAACAAGAGAAATTATATTCTGTTTCAATATCTCTAATTAATATCAGTAAATACTGGTTTCTGTCGATTATAAATAAAATTAAAAAGTTTTACAAAATATTTTATTAAGAAATTTAATATTTGTTAGGAACAAATAAAAACTGAACCTGAGACTCGAAGTGATAAAAATAATATTTTCCTAACCAGACGAACTGTATTTTGTTTCAGTTATAATTAATATTAAGAAATCTCATATCGTGAATCAGAGATTTTATTCTATAGTACACACTGTAGCTCATAGTGATAACATAAAAATTTATCAAATTGTTTCACTTACATTAATTCAAACGATTTTTCAAAATTAAAAATGTATCCCCAGCACCTACAATAATATTACACTTGAATCTTTGAAACCTGTTAAATTAAACGGGTTTTAATAAAAAAAAAAAAAAAAAAAAAATGTTAATAACCAGCTTGTGATCTGATCAATCCTCCTTGGATTAATTTGTATCGATTGGAATATACGTTATTTATGTCAGGACATAAATTTAAAATACCTCATTTGCTGAAAGTGTATCATAATTACGATAAGATAATTGATACATTAAAGTTCGATGAGCATTCGAAATAAAACAAGTTCCACTGATATTTTGCAAGAGAAAAAACGAAATCAAAAATCTATTTAACAAGTTTCACCTTGAATGTGTATTTATATTTTATTGATATAAAATGTTTATCATATAAACATGAAAATTAGAAAATAAAAATTATTGAAAATAATTAAAAATATTCCTCTGGAATTTGATGTCTCCAATTTGGTGCTATGGTTAGAGGTGTTTTAATGTATTTCTCAAATTTTTCCCTTTCTGATTCTTCAATCACAACGATCTCTTTTGTATTCTAAAAATTTAAATGAAGTTTATTCATTTATTTAAACTGTAATTTAATGATAGTAAATAGTATATTACTAATAGTAAATAGTAATAACAGTTAACAGTAATAACAGTAAACAGTTTGAAAAATGTAGTTTAAATAATTTCTCACCTTCTCGAAATCGTTATTTAATAATTTATGGTAAATAGATACAATGGACGCGTTCGACATAGTTATTTTATCCATTTGTTCAATAATATCAGGAATAGACAATAGAGGTACATTTTTTTCATTTTCAGTTGTTTTTTCCTCAAAACCAGAAATTGGTCCTAGAAGAATCAAAAGTCCAGAAAATCGATTCGTTTTTTGTAGGACAAGTTGTGTTAAATCAAAATCCTCTGACAAGGTATCGTCAACACTTTCTCCGATATGTTTCTTAGTTAAAAATACCAAAAACTGTTGTAAATAAGGACACATTTTTTTAGATTCCTCAAAGAGATGGTTGGTGAACAAGTATTTCGATTTCGAGGACCTTTTAGATGAATTGTCAAGGCGTTGAAGGTCGAAAATTGCATCGACTGTACCGAGTGTGTTAACAATCTCAAGAAGAGATTTTATATTTTGAAGATTCGTAAAATCCAATTCTTCTCGAACTGTAACTAATACTCCAGAACGTTTCCAAAAATTAATCCGGTGTTTACTGAAACTTCCGGTATTTTTTAATTCGGAAGCTATGACAATATTTTTAGCACCTCTGTCTACTAAGAAGTTGACGAGTTCCAGTCCAAAGTCACCAAATCCTTCAAGTATCAAGTAGGAGGCTTCGCTTTTGCACAAAAAACGAGGTATTGTCAGGGCTTTATTGCTTTTATCCTCTGGCTGTACTTTCACGAGTATCTGCAAAGAGAGTTACAATTAAACATCGAATGTAAAATTCAGTTTAAGAATGCATAAAAAAATTACTTTTTGAAAAGAACCTTTCGAAGTCCTATCACTAAAGGCATCATTTAGCCTTTCCCTTGAGTAGACCAATCTGGGTAGTGGTCTAACAGTTTGGTTTGCTAACCCCTCCTGAATTAATTTAGCCACTTTTATCTTTATAGCTCGATCGTGGTTAATTATTTCCATTGGTACTAGTGAGAAGAGATAAATTTCACTCAAAAAATTTCGCAATCCAACTTTATCTGATTGACATGATTTCAAAAATGTGTCTTTAACATTTTCTACCACAATAACTTTTCCGGTTTTTTTCATACAATACATGCAAGTTTCAACTTGACTCAAATCGTTTCCATTATATACAAGCAGATCAACTCCTTTGCCTTCCGTTCGTGCTAAGAGTTGATCTGCAAAACATTGCGATCCACTGATATAATGTTCTTCTGGAATATTAGGAAAGATATTTTTCAGCTTTTCTTTGTCATTATCATCAATGAGTCCAACAAATACTTGCGATGTAATATCCAATGCTAGATTAACAATAGCTTGTCCATTAGAACAAGCGCCGTTGTAGATGAAAATTTTTTCTTTCGTTTGTAATTCTCCCTTTATCATCAAAGCCGAATATGCAGTTGCGTATGCTAGAGGTACAGTCGCAGCGTCTTCCATGGACCAATTATCCGGTATTTTCCAAGTGAAATCATTATCAGGTGTTATGTAATTTGAAAGTGCCGTGTTTCTTACAATTCCCATTAGTCTATTTCCTTGTGAATCAATTCCAGAATATTCTTGACCAAATAACTTCGTTTCGAGTCTATTTCCTTCATGGTCTTCTAAAGATATGTTAGTCTTTGCTAACAGAATATCTTCTTCATTAACCGAAGAGTATTCGACTTTGATTTTATTGCCAACCTTCGTTGGTGGATCTTCAATCCAAGAAATTGAATTCAAATCGAAATCGTTTAGCTGTCCTGCTTTCCAGTTCGAGACTAGCTGAAGTTTAAAACCAAGGGGTAAATGTTCGAACGTTCCCACAATTGTACCAGGGGAAATTTCTTCTGTAAGAATATTCTGTCTATTCCGTCTAATTTCGCAAGATTCAAGAATAATTCCTTCTATTTCAACCCCTCCTGCCCTAATATTTCCCAGTATTCTATGAACTGTTACTGGTACTTCTGAAAATATTTACAATTATTACTTTACTTTTATATACATCTAGAGAAATTTTAAGTACACACCGCTTGTCTTGTTGATAATTTCTTCATGCAGTTTCGTATCAATAAAGATGTTTTTGATTTTAAATGGAACTTGTGCCTTTCTAGTGTCATTTCCAAGGACATACATCTGAAGCATTCCATCCAAAAACGTTGTCCAATTCTCTTTCCAATCTAATATTCCACTGGAACCATTTGTTGATATTTTACGAATTGATCTAAAGGGACCTGAGTATTCATAGCCTCGCATCTTTAATTCAGTGTAAACTCCGTTACTACTAAGATTCTCATGATTCATTGCATCATTATTAACATAAGTAGGATTTTTATTTTTCTTAGCAGTCATTTGCACTGTTCCAGAGCACAGTAAAATGTCATCCTTGGTTATTTGGAAGAAACCAGAACCTATATGAAGTAATCATTAAAATAGCTTGTAATCAGAAAAAGATATTTTCGTAATTATAAATCTGACAATACCTTTTTGAACCATGGTTATTAACTCAATATTTTCGTCAAATGGTAAGATTAGTTGATTATGAGTTATTACGTCTGTGTAACTGACTGAGGATTCGGGATTAGTTTGAAAACTGTTTAAAACATCCCAGGCAAGTTTTAAGTACAGAGATGTTGGAATTACAGTTGTACTATAAATTCTGTGATTATTTAAGTACTTCCATTTGTCGTTTGTTAAATTTACAATAAAGTTCATTTGTCCTAATTTAATTAAACCCGCTTGGCTGTTTGTCCTAGAGGTCCTGTTAATAAATAATTCTATTATTGTAGTTAGTGACTATCAGAACATGGCTTAAAGTCACTAACGTTTTAATACTTCAAGATAAAAATGTTGTTACAATAACTTACAGATAACAGTGTATAAAGTTTGTTTTACCATTTAACTGAGTGATCCCACTGAATCAGAGGCGAAATTGATGGTGTTCCTCGCGATACTGGATAGCTTACTTTCGGATAAAGATTTGATACATTAACAGTACAGCCGGCATTGTATATTTTACCCAACGCTTCAAAGAGAAATAGCACATTGTCAGAGTGGTCTCTTCTCGTCAAAGGTACGTTAATAACTTCTTCAGGCAATGATCTCCTAACGATGGCCTGCAAAAGACCGTGAGGTGCAATTTCGATAACAATTGCTTTAGGCGGAATAAGCTTCGCAGCTTCAGCGAACAGGACAGAATTAAGAAGGTTATTTGTATGATATTCTGCAGACGACAGTTGAGCCTTAGGAGAATCCCATTCGTCCTGTGGTACCGAACTGCTCAACCAACGTTTACTTCTAGGTTTGGCATCAGAAATTATCACATCAAGATAATTTCTTAATTTTGCACCAACTGGGGCAATGTACCGACTGTGGTAGGCTATATTACTGACTGACACTTCTTTAGCAAAAATTTTCTTTTTCTAGAAAAAGTATTTACGTTAGTTATGATTTCGAAATATTCTTTTAACTTTATTTATCGAATTAAAAGTTCTAATTTATCTAACTTGTAATTGTGCTACGAAGGTTTTCATAGATTCTTCAGGACCACTGATAGTGGAATTGGTTGAACTGTTATGACAAGCTACATCAATATCTGGAGGACAGAGATTTTTAAGTTCTTCATAACCGAGACCAACTGCTGCCATGGAACCTCTTGGCATTTTCGTTTCTACTGAAGCTAAACCTCTGCTTAATGAAGACAGAACCATTTGCTCTGCTGTTATGCATCCATCAGCGTACGCGCAACCTAACTCTCCAACTGAATGACCTATTAGGAAATCTGGTTTCAGCCCTACTGATTCTAAGACATCTACTAAACCAACCTAAAAGAAGTTAGATTTTGTTTATTATTTCAATGTTTGCTTAAACTTTTTCTCCTTCTGAATTTTTTATCATATTTATTTCATGTTGACTTGTTGAAAGTGTTATTCACCTGAATAGCAGCAATTCCAACAAAAGAATTAACAATGTTGTCAAACATTTTGGGATTACTGTCTGTAATTATGTGCACGATGTCTATACCACGGGGCTTAAGAACTTTGTCGCATTTTTTAATCGCTTTCTCAAAAACCGGTATTTGTAATAAAGCCTTTCCTGCGAAATTAAATAGTACATTATGTTAACATTCTCTATTTGAAATACAGAAGGCAATTAGATTAGATATTTACCCATTCCCACCCATTGAGATCCCATGCCAGAAAACATGTACCAAACCTCCCTTTTTTCACCCGAAACATAATGTTGAATATTTCTCAATTTAGTTTTTGGCAATCCGGTAGGAGGTAATAATGTATAACCACGATATAAATGATTTGAAGTTTCAGTTTCAAATATATCGTACAGAAGCTGAAGCATTTCTACATCCACAGGTCGGTTTTCCAACTGCGGAAAAAAATAAAGTTGACAAGCTTAACAAATTTAACTATGTTAAAAATTTTAATTGTCTAAATTTGTGGCTGCTCACATCGTTGAGAAGATAGTCAACAGTCTCTTTTGTCCGTCCTGATGCTATAACTAATCTTGAAAGACTGTCATCAGGTTTTCCCATATTTTTCTTTTCCTTCTTGAAATCTTTTAGTATAATATTAGAGCATCCACCACTGAATGCTAAATTATTAACGACCGCATAATCACCAGTCCAAGGAGTTAATTCCGTTACAACTTTACATCTACCTTCTTTTAGAGCAGGAATTTTATCAGAAGGTGTGTCGAAATGCAGATTTGGTGAAATATATCCCGATTCCATAGCTGTTATAATCTTCATAATTCCGTTAAGTGCATTCGCGGATGAACAAGCTCCAATGTTAGATTTTATAGATCCAATATAAAGTGGTGATTTACGTCCCTCATTGTAAACCTCATCGATTGCTTTTACTTCCTCAGCGTCCACATCCTTAATTCCTGAACCGTCTGCTTCGACAAACGAAATATCTTTACCAGAAAGGCCAGACTCTTTCAAGGTTCTTCTCATCAATTCTACCTGAGAATCACACTTTGGATATTGAAGAAATTGATCATTACAGACATTTGTAAAACCAGTCTGAATATTCTTTACTTCCGCATAAATGCGTTTTGCGTCACGAGCCTTTTGTAGGAAATAAACTACAATCGCTTCGCTGCGAGTGTAACCATCAGCTTTGTTGTCGAATGTTTTTGTTATGCCATCCGGTGACAAAAGTCCTGAATGTTTGTTTTAATGACAGAAAATAAATTTAAAAATTCAGTTTTTGAGGCATTAAGAACAAAAAAGTGTATTTAGATAAATACAACTTCCACAAAAAAAGTTGTAGTAGGATAAGTAAAATATTAGAAACCATAGAAAACTGTTCGTACCTAATAAAAGTTCTTGTAGGGATGTGTGTGGATGTAATATAATATTGCTGGCACCAATAATAGCGCTTTCGACTCGGCCTGATTTAATTGCCATGAAACCTGCCTGAAGAGCAGTCGCACCCGAACAACAATTAGAATCAAAATTATGACTTGGTCCAGTTAAATCAAAATAGAAAGAAGATCGGTTTGCCAACATTGAACGAACTAGACCTTGTAAACTATATCCATTAATCTGAAGAATAATTTTATCATTTGCCAAACATTTTTCTTGACACAATTTCTATTTGGATTAAGAATCATTTGTCATAATTTTCTTCAAAGAAGAAAGTTATTCAAAGAAAAAAAACAAATGAACCTTTCCAATGCTGTTCCATTGTCTTAATATAGATGACAATTTTTTTTACTAATTTCAAAGCAAATGAAGATTATCATACCGGACATTTTTCGTAGAAGAATGTTTTTTCTGATTCTGATAGACTATTTCCAGTAAAAATTGCCGTCTTACTCCCTTTTAATTTCCTTGGATTAATTCCAGCATCAGTAATGGCTTCGTAGATAATTTCCATAAATATTTTTACCATAGGTTCCAAATACTCTGCCAATAATCCATTAACTCCAAAAAATACATTATCAAAAGTATCAAGAGCTTTCATTGTACCGATACGTGGTGGAATTTGTGAATGTTCTGTGGAAAATTATTATTTATAATTAATAATAATTTTAGTGTATTCACATCTTTCTTCTTTTACATATATCATATCGAATTAATCTACAAAAAAACTAATTGTATTTTAAAAAAGAAAAGTTTTTTTCTTACAACCTACCGTAATTTTACTGAATAAAATTAAATATTAAAAATTTTAATTTATTTCATACCATAGTTCCAACGTGCTTTACAGTCGCCAACACAGTCTATTTTATTTAGTAGATTGCTTCGCAGTTCGTTAACATTAGCACTGTTCGGAAATCTTCCAGCCATACCTGATATCACTATTTCATCTCCCGTCAGTGTTGAATCCATTTTTTTTAGAGAAATAAATTCTTTTAGAATTCTCTTTTCTACTAAAATTTTTTTATTATTTATACTATTTTTTTTATTAATAAAAAAATATTCTTTCTCAGTAGTAAATTTTTTGCTTCAATAACAAGAGGAACTTTGTGTTCGTTTCACGTATACGTCCAATATAAATGGCATATTTAAACTAAACGTCTTTTTATTTTCCCGATCAGGAATTATTCTTTTTTGAAATTATACGCAATACTTTCTCTGAGGTCAATTTGGAAATAAATTAAAATTAATTACTTAAATGATTACTATTTTTGAACATTTGCTGTTTAAACTTATATTGTCAAGAGGTCAAAGTTTAATTACATACTTCGAGAGTCATTTCCAAAAATAACAAAATTTAATTTTCGAAAAATTTATTGGCGTCAAAAAAAAATTTAATATATTTTGAATACTATTTCGTCTAAATGCAAATTATTTATTTGGAATGTTTTTTAGGTTCTCATGACATGATGAGAAAGTATTTGGTCGAAAATTGAATTTTATTGTATATAATAAAAAATTATAATTTTTTATTATAAATTTATTTTATCTGTTAAAGTATTCCTCACAGACTAGAAGTTTGGTTTGCATCAGTCGAAGAAACTTTACGTGTGTGATAAAATTGTTTTTAAATTTGCAAAAGCATATATATAGTGGCTATATGGATTCTTTCGGAGAGGAGCGGCGTGCAGCAGCAATCGGAGAAATGGTCGAGAGATCATCAAATATTTATGAATACAGAAGTGGCTAACAGTTCAACGTCATGCAATCGAGTAGATTGCATTTGGAAACCAAGCACCTGTATCCATTTAAGTGGAAGCTTTTAGCGACTCGTCGATCGGCATATTGGATTTCGTTAAAGAGCCCAGTGTGTGTGATGCAAGTCTCTTGAATCAAAGCATTGGATACATTTTAACTTTTAAATTATCAAAAGAAATTTTTTGACGTCTGATTGGCATATCTTATCGTACACGTATTCATGAACATATTATAATGAGTCATTTCTATAGAATTTTTTTCTCCTTTCTTTTTCTATAATTGCTCCTTTCACTATTCTCATAATCTCCCGAGTTGAAAACTAAATTGAAAATTAATTTTTAAATGAAACAATTACAAAAACGTTACTTAGTAACGTAATGTTACTAAGTAACGTTTGTGTAAATTAATTTGTAATTTAAATTCAATGTAATTTAATTTATAATTTAATTGTAACGTAACTTTATTTGTAATTTAATTTTAATGTAATTTAATTAATGTGATTCCATTTCCAAATGCAATTTAATATGGAATTTAATTTCTAAATGGTATTAATTTTTATTGTAAACTTATTTACACGGAAAAAATTTACTAATTGCTTGCCTTTTATTACTGCGGACTTATTATTTCTGAACGTGTCGTTTAGAAAGAGAAAATTTATGGAAAATGCCGACATTGTATGAGAGATGGAATACAATATAAATTTTTATAGATGGAGGAAAAATAAAAGATGATATAAAGTGATCATAGCAGAAAACATGAAAGGACACCGCTAAGAGTTGGTGGAGCGATGAAAATAATGCAGATCGTAGCGAATTCGTAATCACGAGGCTTGATGCTGTAGACGAGGGTGCATGAAATGCACACTTGAGTGCACATGACCACTGGTCCATGAAAAATGTCTGAAAAAGTAACCTCATTTTGATTCTCAATAACTAAACTCGTCGATTATGAAACTTAAAAAAAAAAAATTCTTTCGAATTTGAAATAAATTTACATTTCTTCTTTTGAAATGAAGTTACATTAATTTATAATTTAATTTTTATTAATTTGATTTTTTATTTAATTGTATTTTTTATTTTGTTAATTTTTATTATAAGTTTTATTACCTACTGTATTAATTTTCATGTAATTATTTTCTTTGAAACAATTCAATTCTTTTCAAAAATTCATCGAAATTTAATTATTTTTGGAATATCTACTAAATTTGTGAAAAAATTCAATTATTCAATAAAAAAGTTTAGCAAATGCTTTACACACATTCAATTATATTCATTATTAATAAAAGTTTCACAAGAAATTAATTATTTATAAATAACACAATTTTCATAAAATTTTTCGAAAAAATCAATTGTTATTTAAAAAGATTTTTATAACATTTTTCGCAAGTATTCAATTGTTTTTAGAAAAATTAATAAAATTCTTGGCAAAAATTCAATTATTTTTATAAACAATAAAGTTCTTCGCAATTCAATTACTTTTAAAAATTTTAATAACATTTTTTACAAACATTCAATTATTATTATTTTAATAAAACTCATCGAGAACTTCAATTATTTTTTATACAATTTGAAGTATGAATTACTTGAATAATGCAATTATTCTTAAAAATTTCAAATAAAGAAAAAAAGATAGAAATTAATTATTTTTAAGAAATAATAACATTTTTCGAAAAAATTCAATTATTTTTTTTTAATGCAACTCACGTTAAAATTTTAATTATTTAATATTTTTAATACAGTTTCAAATAAATTTTTCGAAAAATGAAATTATTCTTAAAAGTTTGAATTAAAGGAAGAAATAATTCAATAATTTTCATAAATAATAAAGTTTCTTCTCCGAAATTCAATTATTTAAACAAAAAATTCATAAAATTCATTGCAAAAATTCAGTTATTTTAACAAGACTCATCGCAGGATTTCAATTATTTTTAATACAATTTTAAGTAAATTCCTTGAAAAAAGCAATTATTCTTAAAAATTTCAATTAAAGAAAGAAAGAATTCAATTATTTTTATAAATAATAATAATCTTCTCTAGAATTCAATTATTTTTACAAAATTTAATAAAATTTCTTCAAATATTCAATTATTTTTATAAATAATAAAATTCTTCTTAGGAATTCAATTATTTTAAAAAATTGTAATAAATTTCGTTTGCAAAAATTCAATTATTTTCTTAATTAACAAAAATCATCTTAGTATTTCAATTCTTTTAAATACAATTTTAATTGAATTTCTCGAAAAACAAAATTATTCTTAAAAATTAAAAATAAGGAAACGAAGAAAGAATTCAATTGTTTTCATGTATAAAAAAAATTCTTCTCAGAAATTCAATTATTTCTAAAAAAAAATTAATAAAATTCGTTGCAAAAATTTAATTATTTTAATAAATCTCATTGCAGGATTTTAATTATTTTTAATATAATTTTAAATGAATTCCTCGAAAAATGCAATTATTCTTAGAAATTTCAATTAAAGAAAGAATGAATTCAATTATTTTTATAAATATTAAAATATTTCTCAGAAATTCAATTATTTTTAAAAAATGTAATAAAATTCGTTGCTAAAATTCAATTATTTTCATAAATAATAAAATTATTCTCAGGAATTCAATTATTTTTAAAAAAATTTATATAATTTGTTTGTTAACATTTAATAATAATTTTCAATACGTTCTTTAATTAAGCTTCGTAAACGAATTTAATTATTTTAAACAAACTTTTATAAAGTTCTCTATAAGAATTTTATTTTTAAAAATATTCAACTATTTAACAAATTATTTACTTTTATATTTAAATAATTGAATTCTCGTATAACTTTCTAATAAAAATTGATTTAAAATTGAATTTTAGTTAAAATTTCAGATAATTATTATTGAATATTAGAAGTGTATATTTTTATAAATAATTTAATTTCAAAAAAATTTTTGATTTGAAATCTTAAAAAATTTCAATTGTTGAAAAACTGTAATAATATTTAAATTTTTCGTTTGAAATAAAATGATTAGTCTTGAATAATTTTATTTAAAAATATTAACAAAAAGAATTACTGAATTTTGAAAGAGTGACAGTTGTAATTTTTAAAAATATTTAAATTTCAAAAAGGCTTTGCATGAAAATCATTTAAAATATTTTAATTCCTGGGCAAAAATCAAATAGGTATTTGGATAGTTATTTTAAAAAAATATTCTATGTTTGAATGTAATAATTTAATTTAGAAATTATAAAAAAATTGAGTCGTCAAATTTATTTTTTCTACTTTTTTCTGTCTTAAAGATACTTTTTTCTTTTTTTAAAATTAATTATCTAGTACGAAGTCTAAAATAGAGGTTAATGTTAAAAATAAATAAATAATGGAACTAAATGTTAAAAATAAATAATAAATAATAAATAAATAATTAAAAAGAATGAAACTATATTTTTTCAAAGTATTTTTTAAAAATCTAAATGCAATAAGTATGCGGATGTGTGTAGACGGAGAAGGAGTAAAAGATTTATACTTCAAAGAGTTGTTAAGCAGCCTTGTACTTAGCGATAATGAATATTCTTCTGGTTCGCGTAACGGACGCCCACATATCGAAGTACCATAATTCAATCTTCGAAGCAATCCGTATAAATATTTATCACACATATGAACAAACTGTATACGCAATGTTGCACTATATCAATATTGATTCATATTTACAATTGTGACACGCACAATATTATAACTGCAATACTACACTGATTTTTTTCATTTTTCTCCAATTACCTTTTTTTGACATCAATTTAACAGTTTAATGGTGGTTAATCAATCTCATCCAATATATAGTAAAAAAAGCAACACTTAAAAAGTGCAATTACTTTTTTTTTCATTCTCTCCTTTAAAGATATATTTTTGTTTTCTTTTATAATTCTTGCACCAGTGTGTGTGTGCGCGCGCCCGCGTCTTTTTCTCAAGATAATTTATTTTATAACGCTTGTCATTCTAGACTTTTGCCAATTACTTTCTTCTTACTGTGTTAATTACACTATGTTAATTATCCCCCCAGTCATTTTCAACATTATTCGTTTCCACAGTGAATATAAATTGACATATTATCCGGAAAGTTGATTATTAATTCTAATTTCTTTTCTTCGATCGTAAATACTCATTTTTTTCTTCAATAGACTTGCGGTAATAATTTATTCCCACCTACACGAAGATCGTAAATTTGTTAAAAGCGTGTAAAAAAAAA